TGATATTTCGAAAGCCTGTTTTTAATAACATCCATTAACAGATGAATAAATACACTAATTTTTTACTAGTTAATTGATTATTACTGAAAGTGTGCATCAGTGTATGTTGTTGACGTGTAATGTGGGTACCCGCGGTTGCATGATTTTGACACCAAGGGTGGCGCTGCATGACATGCACCTGGCCAATAAAGTACATTGTTCTTGTTCGAGAGTAAAATATGAGCTCATGGCACGTATACATTATGAAGATTACTCCCTCGTCATTTCTTTTCACAAACATAAAATTCTATCGACTTTATAATGAGTATAAGTCTGTTTTCAGAGTTACATTGACAACGAAACTTTTGAATTTACCAAATAACCTCTAAGCCCGCGTTTCGTGCTACACTTAAAAACGCATCATCGCATCTTTATGCGTTGAAGATCGTCAATTCGTGACTCTGATGGGGCACATGGGCACGTTATGTACACAAGGAAAGCACGGCCTCGATAACGCGTGTTGTAAAAAATGAAAACGCGTGCCCGGCATTACCGATGCACAATCAATGGGGCCATAAACCGCAGAATACCTGTTTCTCGGTTGTCAAGCGCGGTGGGGAAAACAAATATGGGAGGCGGTAAAGCGCGCGCGTGGTATATACGCATTTGAAAGGGACAAAACAGTCACTGGGGAGTTTCCGGGCTGCCTGATGCACCAATAAAAAGCCCAACGGGGATACGAGATGTTGAGTGGAAGATGCGAAACAATATGTCGTGTATACGTTGGTGCATTCACAGGGAGTGAAAAAAGCTGCGTCACAGGGGAATGGAAAAATACTTAGCTGCTGACGGGTGGGTTGGGCTGGGGAAAAAGAATAGCATTTGATGGTGATTCGCGGAGGGGTAGGGGAGTTACGAGGCAACAGCGGTGCGCGATGCTCGCGCAGGAAGAGATGGAAATGTTCATCGGAGGGAATTTTCGGTTTGGCATTTCCAAGGCAAGGTTTCTTGATTTTTTGTGTCAAATGGATTCTGTGCAGAGCCTGCGGGGATTGATGAAGATTAATGAAACTTTTTTGACACTTTTTGATAAAAAACACATATCTCGTCGCGACAAAGTGGATTTCTTTGTCATTCCGTTTACTTTTATCTTCCGTCTTAGTTTTTTTTTTCTATTTCTGCAAGATTAACATATTGGCCTCAGATATTATGATCAATCAGAAGTGTGAATATTTTCCATGATTCCGTAAGATTAAAATAGTTTCCTAACTTCTCTGTAACTTCTCAGGGAACTGCGGAAAACTGATTGAATTACCAGCATATCAAGTATGATCTATTCTATCTACATCTAGGTTTGAGTCTCATTTTTTTTACTGATACTGTGACTGAGTATATCTAAAAGCTTAAAGAAATTAAGACTCAAATATTTTTAACCTGTACTGTTATTGGTAACTGCAATTAATAAGGTCTCATTGATTAACATTTTCTTTAAAGCTGGAAGTCCCAAGCTGTTACTTTATAGTGACAAACAGGTAACTCAGAAAACGAATTTTTTTTTCTTTACTTTCTAGCTCATGCAATGAAAAACCATAAAATGTCTTATCCAGTTCATTTCCTTCATAACTATGATATCTTAGTGTTACGTTGCAACGACTTGTCTTCTGTGTTTTATAAGGCTAAAAAATATTCAATGCACTACTCTATTTATTTAAAATACTTGAAAATGCTAAATTAAAAAAAACCAGGACATTATTAATGGACTTCCATCATCCATGTCCATGGACTTCCTTAATTTTATCTTCATATCATTGGCATGCACAATTGTTGATATTAAATTTATTTGTGCAGTAATTCAAAATAGTTATAAGCCAGTGCTAAGCAAATTTATTACAGCACAATTCATTAGATCTTTCTTTTTTTCTATTTTTTTATATGTACTGCATTTTTAAGACTGTCATGATGTAAATAAGAAAACATTTAATATAATTATATGATTTGTGTTCTGTTCTTAATTTTTTATAAGTAAAATTAAATGAATTAATAAAGACAGAAGCCGATACAACAAATAACGACAACACTATTTTGAAATCTCATAATGCACCGGCTGACGCTGGCATATTTTACATTGCTACGAGGCTAGAAGTCCACGGCTCCTTACACGTCTACAAAGTAAACGACGACGACAAAGACGACTACTAAGAAACGTTGCCATTTCTTGAAGTGACGTCAGCTCGATGGCTTCCATTAAAAGCCAAAAACCGAAGCAGAGTGACGTTTTCCTTCCATTCGCGTGCTTTTTTTCTTTCCTCTTTGCAAAGCTCTGACAAAGAATATGAGGTCTTTGAGGGGTACGCGAGTGCGACATTCTTGCCAAGCCAGCTCTTGTCGTTACCGAGAAAAAAAACTACAACCCAACGACTCCTGCTTCTTACATCTTTATCTCGCAAGCTCAATGTATTTTTGGTTCTTTGGGAAATTAGATGCGAATCGAATGTAATTTCACATAAGAACTTGGAGCACTACGAGCTTTTAGCTGTAAAAAGTGTACGTAAGGAAGGTGAAACTAGTGATGTGAGTCAAGGTTACAACAAGGGTGTTTAAACTTGTGGCAAAGATAGTGATGGAAGAATAGTCAGAAGAACCGGTCACTAAAGCTATTTGCTTGAAATAAACTACATTTTTAACGTGAAAAATAATATTCTTATTAAAAAAGTACAAACTATTACAAAAAACCTCGTTAATCCTACCAAACGTACGAATTGTAATTTTCAATCCGTTAAAAGCATTGAAGGATGTATTTTAAATGGGAGAAAGCTTTCCTACAACTTCAAATCCAAAGCATCAAGTTAACGTGGATGTTCAGTCGAAAACTACATCATTATTTATTTGACCGTGAAACAGTCGTACCGAAAAATAATGACACAGTTTTTGGTATCGACTCTTTCAACCATTATTCATTTGATTTAAAGCTCAATAACCATTAGTTCTGTTTCTGACGTTTTGCTTACGACGTAGCTCATGTTTTTAAAAGATGACTCCCAGCTCATGTAAGTCGAGAAATACTTTTTAAAAATCTCTTCCACCATATACAACGTAATTCTACCACGATATAACTTTGCAAGGCCTTAAAAATACTTTTGTATAAGATGCAATTTTCAGAGTCAATCGTGCAACTGAAAATTTATTTGACAGATGGAATTAGATTAAAAGCAAATAGTTGATTTAAAAATAACTCAGTTTCAATTCCTTAAGAAAACTCTTTGGACTTTAACCTTCTTAAAAAGGGGGGTGGACAAAGAAAAAAAAAGAAAAAAACAGAAAAACAAACACTCCGAAGAGAAAGAGTCAAGAAACAGATAGACACACCGAAAGAGAAAAGCCATTCGGCCATGTTGGTGTACGTATACACATACGGGCAGGTCGACGTATGTTCAGTTTGATATCGGCGAGTGTGCTCAACCGAGAGGGTACGCCTGCGGTTGCTCCCGCTGATGTGTACACCCTCTCGTTCTCCGATACGGTAGTTATGTTACGGATACTGAGATCCAGCTGTTTCTGTGGTGCTCTTTTTCCAGAAAAACTGAATTTCTGTACAGGGCTTTCCCGTGTTTAGGAGTCCTTACACGCAAATGTGCACATTAGCTGAAACTTTGGAGTCATTAAATCTTTTACAAAAATTAAAATAGACCTGCAGTTCAAATTCCATCTGATACGTACCACTCGATGAATAAAAATGTTTATACAGGGATGAATTGTTATATAAAAAATAGTTAACGAAAGTCTAGCTGGGGAAGAGGTAAGCCAGAGATTATAAGATTGCCTTGGCTTTTTCGCTGATGCTATGAGGATAAGGAGCTTTTGTGAGATAGCAGTCGGTCGATTATTGCGATGTTGTGGATACGGTTGACGAGATCCTGCGCATCCGATCTTCTTGTCGAGAAAAGTTAGATTTTAAATTGCGGACTCTGTGCTGAAGCAGCGGGTTTGACTTGCTTTCGGATTAAATTTGTATATGAAAATACAGAATTGTGCAGTGAGAGTTGATTTACCTTCTGTAAACGTTATTCATTTCGCACAACGAGTGTTGTTAATGTTACCAGAGTTAGGACTAAATTATACTTTATGAAACACAAATGTTCTTCGTTTTATTTACTTTTAAAAAGAATTTCAACCACGTTTATTGAGGTGCACTTTGAATAATTATTAGTACGACTTTTATGACGAAACTGTGAGTGTCAAAAATGAGTTACTGCTGTTTAAAATTAAATTAAAGATAGAAAAATCAATAATTAGGTACAAGTCATGTGAATAAAAATAGTCAAGGTACAAAGAGTCAAAGGTATACGCCTGCAGCTCGTATTTGATAGAAGAGAAGTTGGGAATTCCGTGAAAGGATGAGAAAGAAGAGGAAAATACGAGGTTGAGGTTTACTTTACTAGTACGTATCTAAAGATAGGGGAATAAAACGTGGTTGTTCTAGTCGGGTTTCTTTTGAAGGTTAAGGGTTTTTTTTTCTTTATTGTACAGACTCTTAAAATATTAAGGAAATCATATTTTTATAGTCAAAGTTCAAGTGCTTCCTGTGCAGTTTCTGCTTGTTTCATTCATCTACTAATTACCAATAAAGTTCAAATATTAGTTACTATCCTTTGATAGATTAAAAGTATCTTTTTATATCAAGAAAAAGGGTGTAACGAATGCACTGACGATAGTGGCCCGCTATCCCCTATCTCCTTACCTTTTGACAATCTATTTGTGTGTATTTTCCATTCAAGTGCATCTAAATTACAAGGGCTTAGGATGGTCTGTACTTTCTCCTCGCGATAACGTTGGAAGTGTGGGTAGGAAGGTGAGGGGAGCAAGAATATACACGTAGTATTTTGAAGACCACTAATGCACACAGAGAGTAGAGAGCAAAGTGGTATACGAGTAGAAGATCGTAGAGTGTATATAACGCAGACTCCCGCAAGTGAGGGGTATCCCTTTAATGTGGCTTTTGGTCTTGCTTTGACATGTTGCAGAGCCGATTACCGAGATTGCCGGCGGAGAGGAACTCTTTATCGACAAGGGCAGCACCATCAATCTCACGTGTCTCGTGCGAAACTCGCCTGAACCGCCTGCTGCTATGATTTGGAACCACAATTCTCGGGTATGTACCTTAATAACAAATGTAAAATATTTCTTTTTTTTTTATTTTTGCTGTAATACTGCCTCGTTCATTTCGTAAAAATTTTTTTTTTTCAATTCGTTTGGTTACATCTATTAACTCTTACTAAATTGATAATTGTTACAAGTAATCAATAATTGTACTGTCTACCTTTGGATATAAATAATTTCAATTATAATCAATGAAGATTTTGCCAAACTGTACTCTATCCATAATCCACGAAATAATGTCGGTTTTGATATTATTTTTTTTAACTAAAAACACGTTCAAACGCACACTATACGTCATCTATATTTGTGCAACGTGCATGGCTCTCCCATTATTCCGGAGAAATAAAACAATAGCCACAACGTATCAGCATCCTTACGGGCTAATACTCCCAGTAATGGAATAGACCGAAGCCAACGAAGGGAAAAAGCAAAAGCCACGATCCGGTGGTGGCACCAAGCCATTGTTAAAAAATAATTACAGGGTGAAAAATAAAATGTAAGAGCCGCAGGGAGTTGTTAACGCCCAAAACTGACCACGTTTAGCATTAACGTGCTGCAACGACAACGAATGCGGGAAAGTGCACACGTGTGCACGGCGACTCACGGATAAGGAGCTCTGGTGACTGAACTTTTACGTACGTGTACTTCTACATTTATCGACTATTCTCCACTCCTTTCGATAGCTTTGAATTTTCGTGTTTTTATTGCAATATTTTGCACAAATATGCTCTCTTATACGCTGGATATCGAGTTTGTATTTTGAGCTCAATAAAATTTTTTTTTTTTTAATTTTATTTATTTCATTTTTTTTTGAAGTAAAACAGTTCAAAGAAGAAAAACGAGAGCGTTTGATTTTAAGAAATGTACGAGGATTAAAATAATATGGAATGAAAAGTGAAAAAAAGAAGCCGTCATGAGGAGCCACTTTTTAATTTCGTTTTTCGACATTGCGGTTGAGTTAGACTCAGGCATGAATTTTTAAATCAGCTTAAAGAACTGAAAGAGCAGACATCATGGACAGACAATTTCACAAATAATTAAACTTCATTTAACCTTGCAGAAAGTTTTCACCCAAAAAATAAAGTTTCTCCTATGTAGAGGTATAAAGTTGGTAATCAATTTTCTCATTCTTTCACGTCTTCTAGATATAAGAAATGTTAACTGGTACAATTTAGTTATTAGTAGGATTATTAAAATTGAACTTGTTGAAATAACTAATTTAAATAAATGGAGCAGTAACTTAGTAATTGTAATAAACTATTAAACAAAAAACAAGACAAAAAAGCCTTTCGAAGTAGTTATATTCCAAATATAAACAATGACAAGTAACTAGACACGTAACATAAAATTTTTTTAAATAACGTATTGAACACTAGTTCTTTGGAGCACTCAGTCTGACACACCTACAAACCTTAATATGAATTTGATACTTATCTCTAGAGTCAATTGATATTTTTTTTTATATTTAGTATTTTGATTATAAAGCTTCCAAATAAATGTTTATCTCTTTATCCATGCATAACTATATATTTTGTATTTCATACACAGCAGTCCCGATGTTTTATGCTGTCGAATGATCAATAGGTTGGACTTTTTTTTCCGTTTATTAGTAGGTACCCTTGTAAACCTCGTTATATAAGTATCAAGCTTTACCATAAAGAAGATACCTAAGCCACCAGAGACTCCATCAACCTCTTTCTATGCTATCTCTAAAATCTTGTACTCATCCTATATAAAAAGATATGTCCAAAAACTACGGAACTCTCGAGATAATTTGTAACATATAAGGGCTGTTAAATTGTGATTCTAGTAGTTTTTATTATATACATTACGACGAGCTTCGAGCTCTAACGTAACACCACAGATTTTATCACTTAGAACTGAGTGATCAATATTTTGCATTATTTTATAGTATACCTCGAAAATCAAAGATTGAAATAAAGCCCAAGGGGTTTTTCTCTCTATGAACAGTGTCACAAGTGTTAATCTTATTTTGTAACCGTGATATTCTTGTCCCATTTAAAGTTTTAGTTAGTTCTATCGATTCTCAATATTACTGTATCCCTTTTAATAGAAGTGATTAGAAACTATGGATCACTTAGTATTCTATACATCCAGAGTTTGACTTCTTAAATTATGCAGAAGATGGTGATCTGAAAAGACCCAGCTCTATTCCGATAGACAGATCACATACAAACAGACCAGCAACATGTTCTTATTGTAATTTTCTTATGATGGCTCACAAGACTGTTATACGTTCTCATTTAAGTACTTGTTAACTATGCATATTAAGTAACGTATTGAGCACGTCCTGCACTTTAGTTAAAACTATTCACATGCTTTTCGCCTGATTCGAGTACAAAAGATAATAAACAAATCACTTTATCAGTCTTGATTAATTGAAACTAAGGTACATCTACTAATGTAAAGGAATCAAAGTCAAATAGATAAGTTTAATAAAAAAATAATGTCTAAAAATCTTTAATGTTTTCTCGTAACAATGCAGAAATACTCTATTATCAAACCATCATGAAAATTGATGTAGTGTAAGTATAATTGCTAGTAATTTTTGTATTTTTTGTTGCAACTCAATTTCCAAAGAACAATTCCTTACTCAATGCAACTGTTGTAAGTTAGAGACATCTTTTTCGTCATTTTTTAGACCTCCTCCCCCCCTTCAGTTTGACACAAAAAATCCTACACAGAGGATTCGAACGACACAACCGTTATTAAACACAATACAAGCTAATTTGACACTATGTTTAATTCAAATTAACTTGTGTTATGTTGAATAACGGTTGGGTTGTGTTGTTTAAACCCTCTATACAGGATTTTTTTGTGTCGAACTGGAGGGATTTTTTTTTAAAGTGCAGTACAGTAAATGGCAGATGTGAGCTACCAGCTTATCTAATTTTTTCTCACTTCTTGGTAAACTGACACAATGAAGTCACTGCTTGTTGAAAAAAAAAAAAAAAAAAAATCTGTGCAAAACTAACAGTGTAATACTTGCTTTCAGGCAATCAATTTTGATTCGCCAAGAGGTGGTATCAGTCTGGTTACGGAAAAGGGTCCTATAACGACGAGTCGATTACTCATACAAAAGGCCATCCAGGAGGACTCGGGTATGTACACATGTGCACCCAGCAACGCCCATGCAAAGAACATTAGGGTTCACATACTAAACGGTAAGGGCCAGTGTGGTCACCGCGATTTTTTCATGCTTTGTGTTGAACGTTGTGCACGTATTTAGATATTTATCATTATTGTACATTTTCAATGATCTTTCGGCATGATTGAGTAGTTAAACTAATGAAACTTGTAAGCTTTAGACTCGTAACACGATATCTTTCTTATTGACGAGTATCTGGCATTTAAATTCTTTCTATATGACCCACTTGAAAGTGGTATCCTTATTGAACGTAAGAAAAATTCAGAGTACCTATCAATAGAGTTGCTATCACAAACCTAGTAAATCCAACCATTATTAAATGCGTTGAGATGCCTTTTCCTGTAGATGAATAATAGTACGTCCCTCTGATAATAGGACAGTGGGCAAGGGATGAAGAAAAGGTGCTAAAGGAAATAAACCAGCCCTCTCACTATTTTTCTATGTCTCTTCCACTCTTGTTCAGGTATGAGTGGAGACTCTATAAGTACTCCCGAGAGTATAAGTATTCCCGACGGGAAGCGGCAAACAAATTTTATCGGAGGAAATCGTGGAAGATCGACGTAGATAAAAAGAGAGAGAGAGAGAGAGAGAGGGAGGTGAAAATACGAGGGAATAGGAGGTGATACGTGATGAATAGCGTTGGAGATAACGCTCTGGTGGAATTTCAAACTGTACGGTGCACGCTGGCATGCTGATTAAATACTTTTGTGTGCTCATTTTACGTAATTTTGTTCTCGAGTCGCACAAGTACTCTTTCAACGTTTGCAAGGACTTCTGCGGCTCGAAAGACTCCGGTCTCTATTGCTCGATCTCGTTTTATAGATTAGCTAGCTAATACGTCACGGTGACAGAGTTGATGGGTTTTTTGGATACGTTTGTCAAAATCTTTCTGAAAATTTAATAAATTATCGAAAAACATAGAATTTTCTTGCTAACAAGGGGACAAGTAAAGTTTCCCCTTCGAAAATTTCCCAGAGTATTGGGAGATAACTTTGAATTTCCAAATTCAATAAATGAGAGTTAAAAAAAAAATAAAAATAAAAGCTCATCTTTTTCTAAAAAATGCCCATCGAACCGAGTGAAAGAGATCTCTCTCGAAATGTATTCCTAAAAAAAAACACCAACCCTCATCTACTTATTGACAAATATTAGATTTAAGATTTGAAGGCCAGTCGGATAGCGCTGATCGATTTGTTTCAGAAGAACACCCAGCAGCAATGCATCACGGAGCCGGTGACCGAATGGCAGGCAGACTCCTGCCCGTCGTCCTTCTGCTCAGGCTACTGTTCTAGCTGGTGTAAAGGGCGACCACAGCGGAGACAACAAGGACCCACTGCCGTCGACTTCATCTCCCTCGTCATTACGTCTTGACAATGCGTGCGCACGTCCCACGGATAAGTGCATCTCATATTCGAAGAGCAAAAACGTTTGTCTTTAAACACATCTACGAGCACTTAATTATATCGGAAAGGGAAAATAACGAGCTTTCGTGTCAAAGGCTCGACTTTACCGCTAAAAGCGAGAGACCTTGGCTAATCTTGCCCAAAATTAAGCGTAGAATTTTAGGGATATGAGGCCTGCCCTCGCGAGTCTTTACAAGCGTGGGAGTGTCATTGAGTTTTCGAATACCGTGGTTTACGTGCATTTCGTAATAACGGGTATTCGTGTGATGATGTAAATTTCTGGAGAACGGTTTTTTTTTTTTGAAAACAACAGTGAACATGTTAGTTCTTGGGAACACAAGGTATGTTACTCATTTTCGTATTCACGTCATAGACTCGACAAAATTCCGCCATGTAACGTCAGCAAGACACGTTCAAGGAGCCCCAGGAAAAATGTGAAACCCATGGTTCGTGGCACACGATGAACACGTTTATCCCCTGTACCGCTAGTACAATAGAAATATTTTATAACAAAAAAACTTGTAAATCCGTATCCACGAGTACTTAAAGTATACCGAGGCCAAAAAAAAAGGATCCAAAACTCAGCAAGCCATGTAAATTTGAACCGGTACACGTCAGGCTTTTCCCACACGCTTTTGCATAAGGAGCCTATAGTTCTTGTATCCATCGTACATCACCAACTCGCGTAAAAGAAGTACACAACGGAAGGATAAGTTAGAATAGGAAGACGAACATAATGCAGCAACCTTGTACGTACATACTCCTTTTTTCCCCTTCTGGAGCGCGAACCCCACTCCCAGCGGGCTCCTGACTTACAAACCAGTTATTTTCCTCGGCTCGAGCGGGGAAATTTTACGCTTCACATTCACGCACCCCCCCCCCCCAAACCAGCGACACACCCTAGTGCGCATGCATAGAAAAACAATCGAAAGCCTAAGGGGTGTGCAAGCAAAGCATCTCAGGCGAAAGTTTTTTTTACATTAGGGAATACACGCGTGTGTGAGTGTGCGCAGACAAGGGCGTGTACATGCGCTACGTGTCTGCGAAAGAAAGTACTTTTATCTTTTGTGTGTACTTGCAGTTTCGGCTGGATGAAGATATGCAGGTGAGCTATGGGAATAAAAAAATGTAAGTATCCCGAGCACAAAGTAGAATATATATCTCTGTCTGGCTGTATCTCGCTGTTGTATGGACGTATGTTGTACCCATCTTCAATGCACTGTTAAAATATGAGGATCTTTTCGTTCTACTCATTTTTTTCCTTAATTTTACGAGCCCATTGGAGTGATTGTAGAGGAATGTAGTATTTCGCGTGAATCTACTTAATTTTTGTCTTGAAACTGACATGGGTTACTTTAATAATTGTTTTCCATTTAGTAGATTGAGATACCATTTAATACAATATGGAAGAAATTTCTTATGCTCATCTTTACAGCTCCAGTAACTTCAGGTACAAAACTCATTGTAATAATTTTTATTATGAACTACTTGTTTTACAGCTTTGATTTTTTAAGGATTAATTTAATGCTTACATTGTGATGAGGAAAAGTCTAACTACTGGAATATATTGAGTAGAAAATACTTTGTATGTGTGTGTGTGTGTGTGTGTGTGTGTGTGTGTGTACGTGCGTGCGTGTGTAAAAGTGGGAAAAAGTGTAGGGATAACAGAGATTTTGTCAAACAAGCGATTATCGACACCAAAATTGTACATAAACACCTATCTGTAAATAAGATACTATAAGAATACCCCTAGGATAATCATGTATGTAAAAATCTTACGGATAACAAAACTGAAAAAATTATTCGTTACCAGATAACGGCTGGTGTGAAAAGTTTACTGTCACTCAATAATGCGCTCAGTAGACTTTGTGGATTCAACGACGATTTAATGATTTGTAAATACTAAACTTCCAATGTCAACGTCTTATACATATATACTCAAATTAATTGTAATAGAGAAATGTAACGTTGAATTCTGTTGATCATAGATTTGTAAATTTTTGAAGATCTTATCATTAAACGATCATTTTTTATTTTAATCCAGTGGTTATTTTAATTCTTTCGAACAGAGCTCCAAAACAAAACTATAAAAATAGTACCCATCATCTCAGTAACACAACTTTATTTCAGGACGTACGTTATCTCAAAAGAATACATGAACCAGCTAGTCATACAAGCACTACAAACTCGCGAGTAATAAGTATCTGCTAATACAAATTAAATTGCCACGTTGCTGCGTTTACTCAGTTTCAAGCACAGATATTTGTACTCGTGCATACCTAACGAGATCATTTTCCTGCATAAGTATATGCCTTACTTATATGATTACGAGAAGACAGCAACGGATTTCCTGCAAGGAGTTTTTGTTTTTGTTTACTACATAAAACTCTGAAATCCTAATTCAATGATTCATGTTTTTTTTTAATTTTTTTTTTTTTTATTTATTTACAAAAATTTTATGTTTAGTATTGAAAAGTTCTTTTTAATTTATTTTTTCCCTCAACAAAAATATTTGTTTGCCTGAAATGTTTTTTTTTTATTTTTTCCTCTGTTCTGTAAGAACGAGCTTTTTCGTGATTTGTTGTACGATTTTTTTTTCTAACGAACGGAGACCCCGTCAGTATTGAAATATTCTCCTGTTTGATGCAATCACGATAAAGGCACTGGATTTCCAATTCGGAGGATTGTTTGAACTTGCCTTTTTTCATCAAAAAGTTTGTTTTTCATGTCCAAATACACTGAACGCATGCTTGGATTCCGAAATAATCAAATTATACAAAAATCAGTAGAAAAATCCGAGTTTAGTCAGACATCGGAGAAAACCCAATCCAACGGAGTTAAAAGTGACCTAATTTTTAATTCTGCGCTCGAGCGACGCTTTATCTTTACATTCTGGTGGCAAAGTAGCTCACGTACTTCTTAATCTTAACCAACGAAACAGTGGTACGTTCGCTCGCCCGTGTAGTACACAGCAGAGGCTTTTATCGGAGAAAAGCGAAGTAAACAAGTGACTGGCTGTCCCTCAACTTTTCGAGTTTCAGCATCGTGTGAGCTTAAGAAAGAGAAGGACTCTAGAGAACTCCCTGGAAAGTACACACAGACACGCGCACACATATACTGCATTGAGAGCAGGCGCCTCGAAAGTATACACGGGGAATGAAGAAAGAAATACAGAGACAGGTCAATTTTCCAAATTCTTGAAATGAAGTAAACTCCCTCCCTCCATCCAGCTCTGCTCGATTCTTTTTCTCGAATGTGCAAAATACAAGGCAAAGTTATGCGCCCGTTCCTTTTGCTTCTATGAGAAACATCAAAAATCTCTTACTTTATCACGCCTGCCCCGGAATACGCGCGGACGGACCGATCGAGTTCCAACTTTCGGACGGTGAATTGACTTTTCTCGCAAACACAGCGACGATCCTTATTTTTCCATATATGCACACATGCATAGATACATGTGCACCTACTTCGTGTACATTGAATGCATGTGTCGCTTTACTTTTCAAAACTACCCTGCTCTCTTCGTCAAACTTTTTCTTATCTCACTTGAACAACATTGAAGTAGAAAAATTTAAGCGCACAAAGATTTTTGAATTACTCTGCACCATTGTCCAATCAACGAAAAATTTTTCCTCACAATTGTGCCCATAGATTTTAGTACAGAGTCAATTACTATTCCTGCCGTCGTTATTTTCCGGGAAAATTTGCAATCGACCATTGAAAATTATCGGAAAACTCAGCAATACACTCCGTGCAGTTTGAAAACCTGTTTATCCTCTAATTTTGCGCACCAAGAAGAGAAATTAGTAGTTTTCCTACGAGTTTGAAAAGTCTTTGTTTGCGATACGAGAGGTTTGCGGCCCGAGCCGAAGGCGAGGGACGTAACAAGGTTCGTAAGGAGACTTTTCGAACGAGTTCCGGAAAACTGCTTTTTCGCCCGAGAAAGTACTAGCCTCCCAAAACCACCCGAGGGCGGAAAAAGCTTTTTTCTCCACTTTGAGCTTCCACTTGCCATAATTGTGCCACGCAAATCTCCACAGGATCAAAGGATAGTTGATAATGTATCTGGATGGCTTGACAGTCGCCGCGAAGTAACAGGACTTTTGGGCAAGCAAAGGCTTGGAGGAGAAAAAAAAAAAAAACCAAGAAACAAGAAGGGCGTCGGAAATTGCGCGAGCGAAGAAACAATTTGCTCGGAATGCGGGCCCCCGTGAAAGACGGCGCTGTCCTAATTTTTTTCCTCTCCTTCCTCTCGTCAAGGCAGCCGGAATAGAACGGCGCTTAGCTGTCCCTAATTGTCTTTTGGAAAGGCGCGCATACGGCATCGGTGGAGTGCAGCTGGAGACGGAGGAGCCAGTCGAGTTTTTCCCTCTTTTCTGGCAGACGAAGAGACGTCAGGGCTGATGCTGAGAGACTCGCGCAGTTTCCAAGTTTAACCGGCGGTGGAAGAAGCAAGAAGCGTCATAAGTGGCTCTAAACGACGCGCGGCCACTCTTGCCCGTGATTACAGCGGAGGAGCTCTTTTCTCCGGATTTTTTCGCTTTCCACGGGCTTGCCTTAGCTCCCTTTTTATCTTTCTGTTCTTTCGCTTCTTCTTTTGATTTAATGCATTTATACATGAAACGCATTATGTACCGCGAAATGGAATTTCAAATCACAAAGTGCCAGAGCGCCCTGGTATTATGTAGCGCTCCCGTTTCGTTCGTCTGCTTTTATGCGCGCCTTTTGCTGGAATGTGCTTTTTTCGGCCGCACGGGTTCGCCAATTATCGCAAACGCGCAATGGACTTGTATAGTTGATCTAAAAACTTGTATGATTGACATTAAAAACTTTATTTTTTTACAAGCTTGGTTTGTTAAATAATTTTTGCTTTACGTAGCGAATTCAATTAAAAATTCGAGAGTTTAATTAGCGTCGGGAAGTCATGGGTCCTCATTACGTTCTTTTGCGCGACGTGGGGTGTTGACGCGTGACACAGCTTTCCCTTTCATTTGTCCAACTTTGGCACGTTACATAGCGACGACGGCAGCTTTTTTCCTCAAACTTCCCGTTGTACGGTGTTTCGTTACGTCAGTCGGGAGAATCCATTATAATTTTTTGTTCGCGAAATACCCCATGAATAATTAATTGAACTACTAGGCAGAGGTTAAAAGTTCTTAAAAAGTGTGATTTGGTACAAGGGTACACTATGCAGGTCAGGTAACTTTTTTCCCATTTTTTTATGGAAAAAAATAAATAACTAAAAAAAAATATTTCCCCCCAAGTCAATTATTTTTCAATAAAAAACTTTCATATTGAATGCTCTTGAAAATACGTGATTTTCGTGGTTTGTGAGTTTTTTTACCAATACGTATAAGCATGACTTTGTAAGAGAGAATTATAAATCAGTAAAAAGCGGGAGTTCTTTATTTACACCCCTCGATGTGTTTTATGCTAAATGAAAATTAATTTACCCTTACTCGTGAAATAACCAAGGGCACGTACGTAAGTGATTATGCAGCTGCTATTTCCGCTTAAGAAAATCACATTCAAGCGACATTATTTGGGATTTCATCGTATACCAAGTCACAGCTCATCAATGCCAGACAAACAATCAAACACACCCAGCCGCTGTTGTCTCGGTCGTCGATCGTCCTACAATCAACCAGCCCGTCACCTTAGTATCACCCAAAGGGGCATACACACGGGTGTTATTGTAGCCTCCCCGGCGCCGTATTTATGTAACAATCGAGGCAACCACCACAACGACCGACATGGAATCCCTACGTGCGTGTGTTGCATTAATCGATTATGCCGTCGCCCGCCAATGCGACAATCGTCAGTCCGTATCCCACACTGCCCCGTCAATTACAACAATACGCGCATCAAATGGCATTGACGACTCGGCCACCCTCACGCCATCGATTTGATTCCAGTGTGTATTTGTACATATAGGTATAAACGGCCGAGAAGCGGGTTAATACGTTAGGTCAATGCTCATTTGGTCGTGTGTGTACATATGTACGTACGTGTACTGGGGTTGACTTGCTTGAGTAGAGCCGAAAGCTTATCTCACGATATGCGGGCCTTGCAGGCGAGCCAGAGTAAGGTATGGTATACGGTTGGTACTTCTGCATCCACGTCTGGCGTAATGAGGTACATACCGTGCGTTTTTCATCCATGCGTTGCATTTTCCATTACATCCGTGTTGCGTGCTAAATCGTCGTTGAACTTGTGTCAGAGAAGACTATCGAGCTGCTCCGTATTTTCGCATGCATGCGCGCGTCCGATTTCTCAATTAACGCAAAACGCTCGCTCACTCGCTACTTGAATATTTTTCATTTTGTGCTCCGTTTTCAACTTAATTTGTTTACCGTCCCTATCCTTTATTCTAGTTTGGGTCATTTTATTTGTAGCTTGAAGCATTTTATTTTTTCATCCTTTTTTTATTATGCTAGCTTACTCTTTTATAATTTACGTTTACCAGAATTCAAAGAACTGCCAGTTACTGAAAGCTGTACGAGTCTTAGAAACTTTTCATGCTGTTTGAATGTTTTTTTTTCAGCCCAGAACTTTTTCATCAAGCAGAGTGGATGATTTAGTAGAGCAAGTAAGATTTTCGTTTCATTCATTAGAGGTGGTCAAGTAATATTCAGGATGTAGGATATGACGGAAGGTTGTTATCGCTGCTTGTTGTTCTTGTTTTTCTTCTTCTCATAGCTTTCAACTTAGTCTCTAGTACGAATATGACACAAAAAGCCAAGTTTTTATGTTTTTGTCACAGGATCAAGGTATCTTGTACGTGATTACTTGCGTATATTATTATTTGGGTATCTGTGGTCAGATTGATCTGTCAGATCAACTTAATATTAGGACTGTGTCTTTTTTGCTGCCAAAACTCATTACGAAGTGTGAAAAATATTCCTTGAC